AAAAAAACTGCCAGTTTACAAAGATTTACACAGCCAGTTTACAACTATTACTAGGCTTCAATCTATATGTACCCAACCTCGAGTTTGTCACCCAAGCACCTGGAGGAAGTTCTTTTCTCCTAAGCTACAAATTCCACCTAAATTATTTGATAAAGGCGTATAACAAATAACTTGGATATTATAGATCTAAAAGTAAATTGTCTAAAGTGAATCATCTTATCAACCCCCAACCCACACCCCACCCAACTCACCCCAAAATAAGAAGGTAGTGACGTAAGACTAACATATAAATATTCTGAGTCTCTGACAATGGTTGTCAAAATGCTTGACATTTCCATCAAAAATGTTCCTACCATAGGGTGGACTACATATGAAAGGATTTACTCCACCCCCTCATTGTCTCAAGACAACCCAATTAAAGAAAACTGATAATCTCATCATAAAGATTGTGCAAACCAAAAATGCATATCAGTACAGTCTTTCTCCATCCATCTCTTCCCCATTCCCTCCTGTAGCTGCATTTAATCATTTCATTTTTCCTCGACAGAAGGGTAAAGGCAGTGTCTAAGACAAAAGACACTACTTTGACAGCCGAAGTATAGAGGTTATGTACCCCGAAACTTCACTTGAGGGCTTTAAATTTTGGGAGACAACTCCAAAATGAAAAAGGAGGTTTACTCGGTGGTCAAAAAGAATGGATATTGCCGGAAGATGTTTAAGAAGATACTGTGTACACCCCTATGTCCTTAACATGGATGCAAGAAAGGATGAAGGGCTGCGAAGGAATATATCTGTAGAAATTGGGAACAGAAGTTTTACAAAGTGAGGAAGAAGCAAGTCAAGACGGACTTTGCAGACCATAACCAGCAAATAGCTCATTGGTAGCAAAACAACTCAGCAGTTCTCTTCACAAATTCCTCAGGCTACTCATAGGCATGGATGTTGAAACAAAGCGAACCGAAACAAATATTCCACACTAGAATTGCCATATGAACACAGATCAGGGCATCCAATGGACGCATTTATTAATAATCATCCATGACACTATCTTCTATATCCAATGGAAGCATGTCATTAAGGTGTCAGCATGGAAAAGGCATCCACAAGATATCTCTATTTCAACTTCACTGAAAAACAAAACATTTGATGAACAGCACATCAACCGCCAGCTATTAATATCATAAGGTGTGCATGCTAATCCTCTATGGACCCTGCAATTATATGCCAATCCAAAACATTAATATATCATGCCAGGATGAATACAGAATATGAGACAAAATGCAGAAAGCAGGTCTCGTGCAATTCAGTAACATAGAAGCTGTAAAGTTGATTATACTAATTCTAGTCTCCAATCATTACAAGTGCTGACCCTCATTGGTTGATCAAATAAAAACCAGATCCAGTGATTAAAATCTGAGGGAGCGAACAACAGTGATAGTACTGGCTCTTATGTATTGTTACTGGTAAATTCTATATCAAACATATGGACTGGTCAATGCAGGTTCCCACTGCAAAATAGCACATTAAATGAAAATACTTAAAAGTAATGTACTTACCCTTCACTGATCAAGCTCAATGCCAGGTTCACAAAACCAGATTGCGAAAAGCCTAATTTTTTAAGAGTGGATGTCAAAGATTCATATGGATGCTGCACGCCTAGCTCAAAATTCAAAGTAGTCAAAATCAATTGCTCAGCCTCTAGTGTCCGCTCGCGATATTGCTCAAACCAATCCTGTTATGCAAACGATAGCAAATTATATAGAAGCATATCAACTGCATAAGCCACATTCATAATTTGAAAGGAGATCCAACTAAAAGAAAGATAAAGAAAAGAAAGTGAGAAAACAGGAGGAACAAATTGTAGCATAAAAAATTACTCTGAGGGTTTTCTATCATTAGCCATATGACTCCATATTTTGATTTAATACAAATCAGATTCTACATTAACATCTCATTTTTTTTCACATGCTGTTAAATCTTTTAAGTGATTGCAAGAAGTACAAATGGCAGGTATAGTTTTTTTCCAACAATATGCAAATACATTTTGGCGATTGCTTCCATTTACAAGAAAAGTTTCACATTCCTTCAAGTACCTTCTGGATATTCTGGACGTCATGTATATAATAATATAAACAGTAGATCATTGATTAGACAGCGGTTGAAGATGCATCAACAAAATTTCCAGACAGAGAAAGAAAACGACAAGTTTGTTTTACAAAAATGAACTTGAAAGTATCAAAGTAAAAATTACAGCAGCCCGTAAAGAACAAAATCAACATCCTTTGGACTCGATTGCGATATCAATGCATCCAATTGATAGAAGCTTGTGCTCGAGTTTTAGAATTGTGATTAATGCTAGAAGTAATAGTAAATCCCTAAAAGAAAGCAGATACTTACAAGAGGCAACATGAAAGAGAGAATAGCAAAGTCCTGCCCGTGAAGAATTTCAGAAGACACCTTTAGTACATCATTAAGTGGGCGTGCTGTCTCCTCCGACTTTGAGGCAAGGAAAAGCGTGGCAGTAGCTATTAACTGCAGCAAATAAATAGAGCAATTATTTACTATTTATATCAACAGAGCAGCGGAATAACCGAAATAAGGGGCCAAGTGGGAAGAAAAACCCCTGTAGACTTCAAAAGCTTTCTTACAAATCAGAGAGTATTTTATTATAATTTATAACTCATTTTCAAAAAGCTAATTATAGCTTTACAGAAGACCAACATACAAATCTGTCGTGAGAGGCATGCGATCGACGAACAAAAAAGCGATGGCACAGAACCATGGCAGTCCCAATAGTAGTCTGTGGTCTGCAAATGCACAAGAAAATAAATGTCACCATAATATTAATTACACAACCGACTTCTTGTAAGTATCCTTCAAAATTAAAATAGCTTACAAATCAAGTCGGAGACCGAGATTCTGAAGGAAAGCACAGTAGGAGTATCTGAGGCGCGTCTCATGCAGCACATCAATGCCATCTTTTCTTGACGGAGAACACCTCTCTATCTCATCCCTTGACATAAAAACCACTTCATCATCCTCAAACCTCGATCGATCACATTTGGGGGCAACTGAAGCATAAGCAATGGAATCACTTGAGGCAAGAAAAGCTGAACTGCTGTCGCGGAATACAGGGCCGTTGCAGAAATCTCTGAAGAAATTGGGAGGTACATTTTGCCAAAGGTCAGCCTCATTTTGAGGGCCATGTTCGTAATTGAATTGCTGCTGGTAGGGTCTCCCAGTGCTTTCACAAGAGAAGTCGGAGAACTTTCTCCTTTTTGAAGAAGGTACGGTGTCAGTCCAGAAGCCTTCATAATTGGGTCCACATGGCATAAATCGTCTAGAGAAATCAAAGGAGTCTCCACGAGTTGTTATGTAAAAATTTGAATCATATGGGCAGTTATCATAGCTTCCGTTGAAGTTTGCAGCTGTTGCTCTCACGCCCATGTTCCTGTTGGATTTTCCACCACTGTAAAAGTGAAAACTTTCTGGTCTGTAAGGCTGTGCAAGAGACATAACTCCTGTCCAATTTAATAGAGTACAAAAAATACACGTTACAACATTGTACAAATATTAAAAGTTGTACTCTACAACAACATCACTTTCCTGTCAATAAGAAAATAAAACATTCATATTTGACGATGGGATGCATACTAGAGAGATTATGTTATCAAACTAATGCCGTTCAAGAGAGATTATGTTATCAAAATCAATGCTGTTCAAAAGTCTCAAAAAATTACAGAGAAATTTATCCAGGTGCCATAGATCGAGTAAATATTCCTCAAGTGGCATTCATCATATGTAGCTGAACGGTCATATGTCAGAAAATTAATCGCAAACTATTCCTCAATTTCAGCCATGAAATGAACAAGAAAAATCACAATTATCCATACAGATAGCTGGATTCCCTTGATCAAAGATTAACAAAGCTCTTGTTCTATTCATCAAAATACCTGATTCCGAAAATGATCTCCAAACCATGATCGCATGAGCTGAAAACATTCAGCTTGATAATAGCGCACAAACCAATATACGGACATTCCCCCAAACAAATTTTTCCACAACCACAACAAAATCAAACTCCTTTTTGCCACCGCATATATATATACATATATATCATATATATATGTATATATATATATGTGTATATAAGAATTGAGTTATATTGAAATAGCATAAATCAGAGTAAACGTGCGATGAATTTTACCTCAGCAGCAGATATAAAGATCGACGATCTGGTACGACAATCGCCAAGAAAATTGAGGAAAGGAAAATATAATACAGATATATTCTTCTGCGATTTGGCTTGCGATTAGGGTTTTCGGAAGGGGAAAAGTGAGAGAAAATGGAAAGAAAGATATCCTTAAAAAAGTGGAATATATATTTTCAAAATTGGGACCGGTGGTCCATCACGATGTTCTCATCCACTGGTACCGTGATACCCAGTTTTTTAAAAAAAATCAATTATTTTTAACAATCATTTTTTTAAATTAAATTTAATTCTACTTTAATTTAATCTCACAATCCAATCCACAATATTATTAATATAATTAAATAATATCACTCAATTATTTTTGCATATCATATCAACTTCAATTTATTATTCTGACATGATTGATATACTGGAGTGGAATTTGATAGGAATGCAATGAGTTGAAGAAGAATTGAATGATTATCTAAAAGGAATGAAACAAGTTTTTTGATTAATGTGTTTGGTATGGAAAAGGATTATGACTTGAATGGAATGAGATTATCATACTATATAATAATTTATCACTATCTTATAGAAAAATTAATATTTATATTAATGTTATTTTTTATTTATGATAATAATAAAATTATTTTATTTTTTAAAAATAAACTATATTTTAATAAATATATTTTTATATTGTTCCACTCATCTTATGTAATAAATAAGTGAGTTATATATTTATATTTATACTAACTAATACAATTATATCATTAACCTTTTTGCCGCAAAATTATTAGAGGAATTTACATACATACATATCAGATTGTTAAATAATTATAAATCTACTACATTCAAATTTAATTTGCACATCTACGAACATCACGTTTTTTTCTCTTTCCACTGTCTTTAAATGTGACACGTTTTTTTCTCTTTTCTCTCTCTTTAAACACACCACATTATTTTTCTCTTTCCTCTCTCTTTAATATTTTTTTTCTTCTTCCCCTATTTCTTCCCCTCTTTCTTTTTATCTTTCCACAATCTTTAATTTTTTTCTTCCTCCCCGATTTTTTCCCTGTTTCTTTTTAGGTGGTTCGCCTCTCGATTGGGAAAATTGAACCCTAATCCCACCGGATAAAGGAGAACCAAAATGCATCGTATACAGAATATATAATATATAGTTATTATATACAAAAGACATACAGAAGATAAAAGAAAACTAAAAACGTATTATATACCAAAAATATACTGAATATATAGTCATTATATACAGAAGACAAACATAAGATATACAGAAAAAAAAAACTATAGTCATTATATACAGAATATATACCGAACATATACTGACAATATATTATATGAGTTGTCTGGTTTTGTCACAACACCAAATCCAGGCGTCGGGTTGTCAGACGTGGCTTGGCCGCCCTCAACCGAAATCCGCCAGCCCGCTTGTCTTCCTCTCTGCCCATGGTCGTCTCTCGTTAGCGACAAGATCTGAGGTTCGATTGTCACGTGTTCGATCTGAGCATTTACTACTTCAAACCTAAATGCGGGCTTTCATAATTTCATTATCAGGCTTACCCCCCACTGACCACGCCGCACCACCGCCAGTGTTCTGATTCTCCTCCTTTTGAGTCTCTACACAAGACGACCTCCGACCACCCATTGGTCACTGTGCGACCTCAGTTCGGGAGATTGAAGTCAGTCCGCGCTGCTTTCACCCACTGGTCATCACTCCTCTGACCGCCACCAAGGCATCGTCCACCGTCAAGATCTTCAAAATTGGGATGGGAATACAAGAAAATGGTGACAAATTTTATTGTTTTTTACAAGAATTTTGAGTGGGGCTGTTTGATTTTAGATTTGGGAAGTTATAAGTGTCTGCAAATTGATGAAAAGAAGAAGAAGAAGAAGAAGAGATAAGAAAGAGAGAAAGAATTGACGGAAAGAAAAATGGGAAGATAGGGTGTTGAATAAAGAATGTGGTATAATTCCAAATAAAAAGTAGGATGTTAGCATAATTGCAAATAAAAAAAATACAGTTTGTATATGTACAATTAAAATTGCTCCTGGTGGTGTGCGGGATAAATTTCTCAAATGATTACCTAATTTTGGTCTAACATAAAATTGAGTCAACCTGTGAGACCTTTAATTGGGTTCTATTAACCTGAAACGACTATCAGAGCCTTAGCGCATGCTTGTTTACCAAATAATTTACTCATACTTAATTAATTAAAATATAACCCAACTTTAACTCAACCTCACTGAAAAAACCTCTCTCTCTCTCGCCGAAACCCGATTCCCAAATCTCTGTCCTTCCAGTCGATATACACTTAAATTGACGCCTCTCTCTCGACTTCCGGCCTCTCCGGTAGTCCCCCCGTCGCCGCCCGGTCCTCCCTGATGCCGCGACCAAGCTTGCCTCTGGCGTCGGAGGTCCTTGTAGTGTCTCGTCTAATTTCGCTCTCTCCGGAAATTGGATTACAGTTCGTCACCTTGAATCGCGGTTCTTTGGGTCAGGGTCGGGTGCGGCCCCGACGGTCCATCTTCTCGGGTTGGATGTCTTAGGTTTCTCAGGCGGTCCCTTATCTTTCCCCGACTTCGACTTCAACGGCGTGCTTTCGGGTAGCTGTGGGTTGCAGGAGCCGTCGGACTGCACTGTTCCTTTTCGCCGGCGGATTGGTGTGTGAAGGCGGTGAACTTTTGGTCAACGATTGGCAGGTTGCCGGTCTCGATTGAGGGTGAGTTTCCTTCTAGCCGCTCCTGTCTCGGTTTTCTTTTGTTTGCGTCTGGCGGTGTTTGGTGGTTCGAGGTTGGGCTCTTGAGTAGCTCATGTTCTTTTGGCTTTCGAGATGGTGGGGCTGAGGCGGCGGTATGGAGACAGCTCTTCTCCTCCTGTTCCCTGTGTTTGGGATTCGGGGGAATCGGTTCTTCTGAGCCCGCTAGTGGTGTTAGGGGGCTGGGTGTGCCGTGTTGGGAGTTATCTTGGTATATTTGGTGTGGGAGAGAATTGACTTTAGGTGGGACTCGTGGTTTGAGTTGCGATTCAGCTAGGCTTAATTGCAGTGGAGGGGTTGTTTATCTCAAGCGGTGGGTTTCCCTGGGTTGATTTGGTGGCTGCTAGTCTGGTTAGGAGTTGCTGTAGAGGGAGGGCTTGTGATTGTGTATTTTTTTTAGTTGTTTTTGTTGTTTTATGTGGTAGATCGTGTTTTGGTTTGGGCTCTTGTCTGGTGTTTATGTTATGTTTTTTTGGTTTGGGCCGTTGGCCTCAGTTTCGAGCGGGAGCAACTTATTATCCCGTGGGGATCTGCTCCTGTCTCAATTCTCCTGTGGGGAGCTTTCTGTTGTAGTGTTTTGTGTTGTTGTGTTGTTGTTTCTGCGAGTCTTTTTTCGGTTCCTAGTGTTGTTAGGTTCGGGATTCTAGGCGGTCGTCAGACCTGTCCTCCCATTTTACTCAGTTGGGGGTTGTCTTATTCAACTTCGGGTTGTATCTTTGCACATTTGTGCGTTTTGATTATATAATACCATCTATCGTTCCGTTACAAAAAAAATAACTCAACCTCACTATCTTTAATATTATTCATATAAATAAATAAAACAAAACCAACTATTCTTACATATCGCATCAATTTTAGTTCAGTATTTATCCACTCATAATTTTAACTACCTATCATTTTCAATCTTGTATCTCATGATTTTACATCAAATCAATATTAATCATTTTATTTTTAATATTATATTAATACATTCTTAAAACCCCACTAATAACTAATCATACGACATTTTCAAAATTAACTCTAGCTAACCAAAATAACTCATTTTGAATGGATTATTTTGTAACAAGCATGCCCGACGTTTGCTCATTATTCTTGCCACTAATGTCGGTGGTTGAAACCCTACCTAGTGGAAGTCCTATAAATAAGATATGTCTGGCTGCATAAATAGCGCATGAAACATATCATATTAATCTTTTACAAATAGCCTCGCACATCACCAGAGGAGAAGTAGGGTTGTAAACGAATCGAATCAAAGCGAATACTCAGAGATTCGATTCGGATTCGTTAAAATATTCGAAGATTCGAATTCGTATTCGATTCGTTAACGAACTCATTTTTTGATTTGTATTCGATTCGTTTAGAATATTCGAACATATTCGATTCGATTCGAATTCGTTTTCAAAAAAAATTATAATTAAAAAATATTATAATTACAAAAAATAATTTTTATTTTTCATATATTTTTAGGAAAATTTGTTAACTTATAATGTTTTAATTTTTATGTCATAAAAATAGTAGAAATATAGCAATATATATATATATATATATATACATATATATTATAAACAAAATGTTACTATATATAATTTATAAAATTTATATAATTATTGTTAACGAATCGAATATTCGAATTTCGAATTGAATATCTACAAATTCGAATTCGGATTCGTTTAACTTTCGAATATAAAACATTATTCGTATTCGAATTCAAATTCGAATATTTCGAATTCGAATCACGAATATCGAATTCGAATATCGAATCGAATCAAAAAAGTTTGATTTGCTTACAAGCCTAAGGAGAAGCCTCATTAGGACCAGTGTGGGCCTAGGCCCACACTGGAAAAGGGAAAAAAAAAAAGGATATTTTTATGTATCCTACATGAAATTGAAAATTTTGCAAATCTACCACCCATAAACAATTAATTGTGTCCCTACCTAATTGTCAAGATTTAACTACATTTATGCCTAAAATTCAGTTACCTAAAAAAGTGGACTCCATCCACTTTCCTCGCATGATTTCAATTTTGTTTTAAGGGATTCAGCTTTAGGTAATTCTTTAATTCTACTCCATCCCAAGTTAGGCGGAACACTTATTGCAGCCCAAAGACTCCAATTCTTTTTCTCTTTCTGCTGGTCAACGACCAACAACTCGTTGTTATATATATATTTTAGGGATAAATTTGTGGACACTTGTGTTCAATTGGAAAAGCTGGTGGGCACTTTTTTTTATCAGGAATATATATTAATTTTATGTAAAAGAAATAATAACATCAAAAGTAAGATTCAATTCAAATTTGACGGATATTTATTTCCTGCTTTTGTAATCACATGTAGGTAATTAAGCTAATCTTTGACTAATTAAGTTAGATTTATAATACTTATAAGCAGAGAAAGATATTTTACAGGTAAATGGCAAGTTACCTTATTGCTTGTTCTTGCTTCTAACGCAACTTAAATGGACTTTTTGCCTTGTTTATATTAAGAATAATATATACTAAATATATATTTTATATATACACATAAAATAAACCATCAAAAAATGTTTGGTATATGTATTGTATATATTTTCCATGATTTTATTAAATATAAACCATACATATACTGAATATAAACCATGTTTTGTAATTCACGCAGCTGTCATGTAGTATATATTGCGTTTATGTTAGTATATATTCAGTATTACGGTGGTGAATCGATTACGTGAATAGTTTTTCGCGAGGTAGTAGAAACTGCACCATATACTGAAAATATACTGAATATAAACACTAATCACATTTTACCTGTCGAGAGGTCCTTAATAACAGTTATGCTTGTTTGGACTATGTATATAAACCATACATATACAAAAAAAAAAATAANTGCTTGACTATACACGCAATGTATACTGATGTGAACATATATTGTTCTTTGATACCAAAGAAATGTAACCCGCAACCGATTCCCGATCAGAAACTCAAAACTCCAAGTTTCATCACCACAAACTGAACTCCATTTCCTCGAAAACTCGTTTCAGAATACCCCAAACAATTAAAACACACAGTGACATGAGGATCACCAAGCAATACGCAGCAATCACCATGTACAGAAAGAGCTTAACAATGTCCATTAAGATACAAAAAAACAACTAACACAAAAACTCGTAAAAGAAAAAAAAAAGGAAAAAACACACACACACAAACATATGCACACAGTTGATTTGCGACAAGTTTCACCTTCCGCCGTTGAAATCACAGCACACGAAGCTCGGGTCGGATATCCACAACACATCAACCGTAGTCCGCATCTCACCACTGCAAAATTCGATAATTTTATCCTTCCAATCGCGAAAAGTAAGACGAATTACGCAAAATTCCGATGATCAAAACAACAAACTGACAAAAAATTGTAGAAGACGAAGAAGAAGAAGAAGAAGAAGAGAGATGGAGAGGGAGAGAGACGAAGACGAAGCGACAGAGGGAGAGAGAGAGCGAGAGAGCGAGACGGAGAGGGAGAGCGTAAAATCAGTAACTTTCAATTAATTATCTCAATTAATTTAAACGGTTAAGTCTTAGGTATATTGACAATATTTTAGGCTTATTTTAGTACATTTATAAATATTAATATAATGAGTGTATAATTATAATATAATTAAATCTTAAAGTAAGGGGTGCAAATTCCTAAAAAAAAGCCCCTTGTATTAGCCCATATTGCTTAAATAAAAAAATATTAATTGTGAGTCTTATAAATAAAGCTATGATGAAATAGTTATTTACGCTCCGTTTTGAAAACTGAATAAGTTTTTCACACCGCTTGGTTATAAGTTAAAATTTTCACTCCTAAAAGTTCGAAAGCATTATGCGATAATTGTGTGAAAGTTAAAAATGGCGAAGGCATTCGCATAACCCTTCGCACTTCTATGGTGATATACGACTGATATGCGCCGATAGTTATTCGAACCATTCGAATAACTTTCACATTTTTCGGGATGAAAAATTAGATTGTTATCGAGCATGGTGAAAAACTAAATGTATCTTCAAGTTGAGGTGTAAAAGAATTGTCCCTAAAACTAATATAATAAAACCTTTGACAAAAGAAAAGTGTACATAGACTCACACGGACGAAATACAAAACAAAAAAGATGGGGGAAGAGGGAGAAGAGAGGAGAGATTTAAGATTTTGTTAATTTTCAATCAAACTGTTTAAGAAGACGACTTACAAGATAACGAAATCCCTTTCTGTATATTTTGATTGAGGTAAAAATTACTATTTTTTATTATTTTAAGTACTAGTATATATATTATCTTTATGTAGAAATTGCAAATTCAAGCTCTTTTTAGGTGTTTAAAGTTCTTTAAAGTTTGATATGTCAACGTAGAGAATTTCATTGATTGTATATTTACAATATTATTTTTGAATATCAAATATAGAGAGATATTTTCAGAAAAAAAAAACTCCGTTAACAAAGTAGTTGGAGAAATGTCACAATAGCAAATACTTTGAATCAAATAGACTCGAGGAAAATTTTGGTATCACTTGAAAGAAAGTACGATCGTGAGTTTAATGATGATCGAGAAAACGAACCCTTCTTGAAAATTGATAATGATGTTAATAATAGCAATATCAGTCCATGAAAACTCGTAAAGAGTGACTATGAAGATATGTTTTTGTATTTATACTTTTTTTATAAGATGTTATATTTTTCATATTTAGGCCTCCACTCATTATATTTTCTAGATCCGCCCCTGCTGACATCACATTACATATTGTTCAATTCAAGTTCGTCGGAGCTTCGATTTTTTAGGTATTGCAGATTTGTAGACGTAAGTTGTTGTATCTTTGGGGACAATTCGCCAGTCATCATATCTAGCGCCTCCGCTATAAGTTGTTGTAAACGGGATCCAAATCTTTATATAACATATATTTCAGTTTTGTATCCAAATCTTCTCTTCAAGGTGAGAAGAACTATACATAAATGTATATAATAACACATGCTTTGTTACATGATCCTAGGCCAAGTAAGGCACCAGGACTTTACAATAAAGTAACACTACACTACTCATGAACTATATATTGATAATTCTGAACTATTTATTTGGAGATGCAAACGTCGAGCGATCCTTGAATCTATTCAAACTTCGATCTTTTGGTGATGATATCTTAGCTGCACCCGCTTGACGCATGAGTTCTGTTATCAGGAATTAGTGTTAAAAAATTAATGGAATACTGAATTAAATTAAATATAACATGAAATGCAAAACGCTTGCCTCGGGTTCTCTCGAGCTCCTCATCGAGTTCTTCTTTCCATTTCCTCTGTATCTCGCTGAACCTTTAGTGTATCACCCAAAGAAGTCATCTCATGTTATCAAATAGAGAATAAACCACAAGCCCGAAAAAAAATAAATAAATAAATAAATAAATAAATAAGGTGCAAACCCAAAAGATATAAGATATTAACATTACCTAGCAGTGCCCGATTCTTGCCGAGAATCTAGAAGAAGCTCTTTCATGTCCTGAGAAGCTTCTAAGTTCACGGTGCCCGTAATAGATACACGTCTAGAACACCTCCGAGGACTCATGCTGAGGTCAGCGCCAACTAGAATCGATAATCTTCTATTAGGAGGTAAGTTGCAGTTATCCGGAACATTTTCCTTGTCTCCATTGCCTGAGCTCGAAGGACTAGCAACATTCGACGAGTTGTAAAATTGATACAGTGGTGTTTGCAGCTTCTTCAGTTCAAATGCCTACAACAAAAGGCTCTAGTAGTTAAAATGAGAACCAAGATATAATAATCTCTAGTAATTTTCCCGATTATTCACCTTTTCATCAAGAAAAGCTCTAATCTTTGATTCAGTCACCTCATCATTGTCTTCTGCTCCCAGCTGCCCTAAATCCATTGACTGATTAAGAAAAGATCCCATTTCACTTTTATCCATCTCTGAATGTCCATCAAACTTGCACGGCCAATCATTGTTTGGCTCGTAACAGTCGCTAACAACCATATTTGGCGAGATTTTCTCAGAAGCATCTCCAAATGCCAGATCATCATCGTCATCTAAACGACACATGTCATCATCAGAATCCATCGGTTTCCAGATGGAGCTTCTTCCTGAGAATTGCTCGGGATGAACATCCTTGAGACCAATGCAGGACCTTTTGGCCTCAATTTTCATTCTGAAGCATGAACAGAACACTTCAAAACAACTGGTTTTCAAGCATTTTATCAGGACACAAGATCAAAATTTACCGTACAACACTTACGATTCCTTAAGATCGACTGCATACTCAGCCGTCCGTTTTCCTGAACCATCCCTCTGATCAAGATATTCGAGTTATTAGTTAAAATGGTGCTTGTAAATATAATATAATAATTTATAAAAAGAAAACAAAAGAAAGCACAAGAAAAGCATCTACTGACCACAATTGAACGTCGACGATTGATATTTGAATCCTGGCACTCTCCAGTAACAAATGGATGCTGAAAAATATCATTGCATATAACCCCGTTTAAAATTACCAAAAAAAAAAAAAAAGAGATATAATGAGCCTAATTAGGCACTACCTTTAACAACTCTGATGCAGTAGATCTCATGTTTGGCTCCCTGAAATAATTGATGAAGTTGAACATGATGATCCCAACAAGATAACAAATATAGAGATTTCGGGAGGACTTTTTCGGCATTCAAATGATAAAGAGCGGGAAAAATGGAAATAGAACCCACATACTTTTGCAAACACTTTAACAAAAAGTCCTTTGCTTCAGAGGAGAGATGCTCTGGAATTGGTGGATGAGATTTAGTTGTCCCAATGTATAAGAGAGCAGAAACCTAAAATGATACTCACCATCAGAATTCAAATGATAAGATATTTGAACCTTAAAACTAGTATACTCACAACATTGCTTTGGGTATACCTCCTGATATTGTTGACTCCAAGGAGCCTTTCCGGTAGCCATTTCTATAACCGTGCATCCAACACTCCATATATCCGCAGAGCTTCAGATATTTTGTTGAGAATTCAGATACAACAGTTGTAGATGATAATATAATAATAAGATGGTAAGACAGTCACAGACAGAAGAAAAGACCAGAATAATGCATTCAATTGATAACGAGTGAGTGCTGATTTCTTATTCAACATGTAATAAAGAGAGAACAGTTTTCCAGAATAGTCCAACTACAGAATTTTTCAAGCCGTTCACCAAGGACCTATGAACTGTGACATCAATGGGGCTAGACCAACTAAAGCATATCAAGTCGCAAAGAAGGCATATAATGTAAGGTTTAAACTATTAAAAAGGTGCTCGTCTTTTCACAATAAGAAAGTTATAGTCGCTAAAATTAAATAAGAAAATATAAATAAGCACAAGTGGAATATGATGCGGGTGCTCTTAAATAAATATGCAGCAAGTAATCATATGCTAACTTCACTTGCTAGAAGAATTAAAGCATGTGTTTATACTCACAAGCTATGACCACTCTGAACAATAACTTCAGGAGCCATCCAATATGGAGTACCCTTCATTGATTTGGCACCAGTTACAGTTATCTGCAAGCAGCATTACTCAAGTAGTTACCACGCAATTCATGTATGAAACCTAGCTAGTCAAGAATAAGCATCACTAAAGCATAGACATACCAATGCTTCAACTCTCTTGGATGCTCCAAAATCGGCAAGTTTAATGCATGCCTTATTATCGACGAGGATATTCGCTCCCTAATAGTAACCCAATTTATCATCTTTAGGAACACTCACTATGCAAAGGCTCTTTGTTTACAACAGAACCAATAAAACACAGAATATACCTTGATATCCCTGTGCATAATTTTGTTCGCGTGCAGGTATTCTAATCCTATCAACAGTTGTTTAGTATACATTCGAATGACCTGAAGTGAAAAAAATATAGAGATCAGTTTATGAATTTAAGCTACGGAAAACGAGTATTGAATCCAACAACTACATTCCAAGCTCCAAACAGGTGAATTTGCACATTATAGTAATTCACATAAAACACATTTAGGTAATTTTAATCCCTGACATTCATCGTACAATTAGTTACTTACAGATTCTGGGAAAGAACCAAATTTTCCCAAGAGAGATGAGATGGATCCACCTGGGACAAATTCCAGCAATATATTCAAAGAATCTTCCTCCCTCACAGTTCCTAAGTATCTCTGAGCAACAAGAGATATAAACTTAGATGACAGTTCTAAAAAGCACCCATTTTAAATGATAAAAGATTACACCAACTTACCACAATGTTTGGATGTGATAGATTCTTCAACAGATTCACTTCTTTTTCAAGCTCATCAATGTAGTCCTAAGACAGAGAGCTCCCTCAATATGTGCAACATTTTAATCTCATAAAACATAGTAAAATAATTTGAGCAAGACAATAGAATTACTTGTGTTTTCTTGGAAGTACTGTTTGTAGCAACTGCAACCTGAATCCAACAATGTTAGAAAAATAAATAAGCGAAACTCAACCAACTGAATCAAACAGAATGTAACCCACGTAGGTACGACTAAATTCAAAACAGCTAGTAAAATCAAGATTTCGATCCAACTTAATACTATCCTATGTGGAAAGACATACCGAAAGTTTTGCCTTTCAAGCGAAAAGATGAAGGAAATTCTAGTATACAGACTAACCTTAAAACTTTATTTCGATAGTCATTTGTGCAAGTACATTTGACTAAATGTGGGATATTCTCATCCAAACATGTTAAAAAAAATTGGATCTTTAACGTATAAAGAAAAATTCACCGACGAAATCAACAACCTCTTTGACAGCCAGAAGTTCGCCAGAATCAAGATTCATCCCCATGTAAACCCTCCCGAACGCGCCGCATCCGATCAAGTCCCCTTTCCGCCACCGTATCGCAGGCGGCGCTAAAACCCCCTTCCCCCTCGAATCTTCACCAGCAAAATCGGCTCCATCTGCGGCAACGCGCGTCTCATGCTCGACAGCGGCCTCCTCCATCGGCGGCAGCGGATCTTCCTCCGCCCTCGGCGCTTCCTCTACGGCGTTCCTCCGTGGGGTCGCAGTTGAAGGCGGCGCGTGAACTGGGGCCTTCGCGAACAGCCCAATTCGAGACCGCCTTATGCTCGACCCGATTTTCTCAGCGATTGCTCCGAGTCCGGCGGGTTCTTCCCGAAAGGTTTTGGGCACCACCGATCGGCGGCGGATGGAACCCATGAAGTCTTGCATCGGCGGAAAGTTTTTGCCGGTGAAACGGTTGATGAATGCGCACAGAGGGAAAAAGAGATGATTTGAATTGAAAGTAGAAATATGGAGAAAAGTATTAGAAAATAGCCGTTGGAAGATGAGAAACGAGAAAATCAAAGTTCATGTTAATGTAATAATTGATTAATTAACGCATTAATTAGACTTGAAAACGATAAACTAAGAGCGACTGAATTAATTTGCCCAAACACAATTGATCGGCTATTAGACAGTGAAAAATCAAATTATAATAATTGATTTTACTAGGGATTTGAAGATAATTATTTGATAAATTGTAGTTTGTATAAACTATATTGAAAACGTTATGTTAACATTTTATTATACATATTATCTTTTCTCAAACCACTCTATATTAACCCTTTGCAAAATTGAAACATTATATGAGCTTTTTCAAAATTAACAATTTCAGAATAACACTAATAAAAAAAGTGTTTACCAAAAACAAGTTAGTTATTGCGTTTGATAGGTCAAACTTTTAAATAAAGATCAATTCGCTAGTTTTATATCAATCTACTAATATCCAAATGAGTCCTAATTTTTTTATGGTATGGCTTAAAATTTATGTATGTATTGTATGATTATATTGTGTTCAACGTGTGTGAACGACAAAATACATCAAAATCATTAAGTTTTACTTGAAAAGTTTCAATGATAATATATTGCAACAAAATTTTAATGATAGCTCAAATGAATATTTCAATGATACATTTTTTTTTTTGGATAAATTTGGCGGAAATGTTATGTTGAAATGAGTTTTTTGTTTTGAAACTTTTGTTGGACTTGGACGAGTAATTTGTAATTTTAAAATAATAAGTCTATAGTTTGCAATTTTTTCCTTCCTTAAATTAAGTAATTTGTAATTTTAAAACAATAAGTCTATAGTTTATCAAGAAATACGTTTTAGAATCTCTGTTATATTTCGCTATGCAATCTTGATAAAAGCAGTATAAATCATATCATATATATCCTGCTAAACAATTTTATTAATTTATTTAAGCCTATCTAGAATCTTAATATAATGTTTTAGTAATATATAAGTTACATTTTGTTTTATTCCAATACATGCGTTCCAATCATCCAAATCTAAATGCTTGCGTTAATAAAACTAGCCCGTGACCGAACTAGTGTTTCTGGATGATAAAGATCTCCGGTCTCACACGCTTTCGACAAAGTGTGTAAAACGTTGAGCAAAGTTCTACTCTATACAGCTAAAGCGTGGCACACATTCCTCGCCTCTCAACGCAACTACTAAAGGCAAGAAAATCATTTGCCGGCTCACATTTTTTTTTCTTTCAGCACCAATCCCTCTCCCATTCTCCGCCCAACCCATTTATTGAATTCACTCTTGAAATCGAATGGATTAGCTGCAAGTGAATTTTGGTTCCTTTTTTCCTAGCCCTTTATGATTTTACCTGAAAAAAGCTGAAATCTTGATAATATTTTGGTCATGGAATCTTTAGTGGAGGCAACATCCGGTGCGGTGGGTGCACTGGTCAGCACCACCATTTTGTATCCGCTTGACACTTGCAAGACCAAGTATCAAGCTGAAAATCGAGCCCACCATCATCAGAAATACAGGTGCATCCTTTTTTTTGGTCCCAATCTTTTATTTTCATATTATCCTGTTTCTTGTTGAAAATTTCAGCATTTTTTTCTTTTTGGTTATTAGCAAGAAGAGTATTTTTCGTTGTTGAAGCTCATATATCTTTGTTATTTGTTCTTTGTTAGTTATCTCATCAATGTTGTGTTGTTGGGCTCATTAGTGATGCTTTGTAGCTGTCTTTATCATGAATTAAATGTGGTTGGTGGATAATTAGGTAAATCTTTGGGGTTGTGTACCGTGTGAGAGCTGGAAAAATGATGAAACAAAAAGGAAATTTGAAATGGGTAATCTCTTATTGGATTGTTGTTACAAATAATCGATAGAGCGATTATGTATTAACTGGATAGACAAAATTTCCAGACTGTTTGAACAATGTAACCATATTTATGCCAGAAAAAGTTAAATTTTACTTGTGTCCCTGTCTGCAAAAAAAAAATTAAGTATCTATGTCTACCTGCTTTCTAGCATCATCAGATTTTATATACGGGTGCTGATCATAATATCACAATTTTGGTGAAACAAATTCACTGCAACTGGAAAAAATGTTGCAAGTCTTTGTTTAAGTGGCAGAGCATCTTTAACTGGTGACGATTTTTTTTTTATGTTTTAGATTTACTATTATTCTTATGCTCCTCTGTATTTATCACTACAACATTTTTGTTGTGCAGAGGTATATAATTGAGTTGCAAAAAAATTATGGAGTTGTTATCATATACGAGGCTACTCATTTAAATGTAGCTGGATATCTTTGTGTTCCTACATCTTATCTGGCAGAGTTCTTTAAATTGAAATCAAGATGAGGGATTTAAAAATAAATAAATAATAAGAAAAAAAGATTATGACTTGATCTTACATTCAATTTCTCTGTAGCTTTATAAAGGTCTTATTTGCTCTATACTGAACATTAGTTCGTTGGGCCTCAACTTCGATAAGGTACCTCCTATAAGATACTGAATTTCTAGTGTTACATTATCTTGTTGATTCTGTTATTTCCCTTGATCCCTGTGACTGATATAGCATCTCTAATGATTGTCGTACTTGTAGAGTCTTGTAATGTGATAAGTATTATGGGTTGAAGAGAAATGCATCTGAATTGATTACTTTTACTACAAAAACATCTCTGGTAGAGTCTTATAATGAGATAAGTAATATGGATTTAGAGAAAGTCATCTGAATTGATTGTTTTTGTTGTAGGAATATATCTGATGTCCTCTGGGAAGCAATATCCACCCGTCAAGTACTCTCGTTGTACCAGGGCTTGGGAACAAAGAATTTCCAGTCTTTCATTTCACAGTTTATTTATTTTTATGGATACAGCTTTCTAAAGAGACTTTACTTGAGAAAAAGTGGGTCCAAATCTATCGGGACCCGAGCCAACTTGATCATAGCTGCTGCTGCTGGTGCTTGCACAGTGGTAGTCACACAGGCAAGTCACAACTTCAACTGATATACTCTAATTTCGATTTCAAAGCATAGCATTAGCAGTTACATTATTATTTAACTCAAGAGCTTTGTTCTTTTTTTTTTTTTTTTTTTCCGTACAGT